TTTCTCACCAGGTCTTCAAATCCCCTTCGTGAGATCACTCTGCTATCCCTAGCCATTCAATCTGATGCTTTTCAATTTTCAGGCTGGGACTTCTTCCCTTCTCTGTCTAGAGCTCCTCTTCTCAGATTGTTAAATCAATGTCCATGACTTTAAAAACAGTAACACATGTCAGATCCCTAAGTCTGTCTTGCAGCAGAGACCTTCCTTTGAGTATAAACGCCTTCTCAAAAGGAACTCAAACTTAACATGTGCTAAAACACATTTATTTTAATTCCCTCGCCAAAACAACACCTAGCCTTCTTTCACATATCTCTTAGTCAGTGGCAAGACACTCTATCCTACCACACACGCTGAGGAACTAGGAGTCATCTGGGTCTCAGCCTCACCCTTGCACCCAGTTCATCACCTGCTCTAAACTTCCATCATCTGTTGCCCTTTTGCTCATCTCCATGCATCCTCTCTTCTCTGCTATACCAACCAATTCTTTACACAGTCCAATGAATAACACTTCAAAATGCAAACATGATCATACCATACCATCTTCCCCATGCCTAAACCACTCAAAGGTTTTCCATTAACTCTGGGTTAAAAGATTGACATCCATAAAATATTTCTCAAGTTCTTCAATGATCTCTGCATCTCCCCTATTTCTGTACTCCCTATTCACTGAGGTTCTTCAATTATGACATGTCCTTTTATGCCTGAGTTTCCTGCCTCTAAAGCTTCCCCCTCTTGTCTCCCAGGTTCCTCCAACCCAGTTCTTTGCATAATTGATTCCTACACATTGATTTTTACTTATTTATTTTGGTACACCTTAAATTCTAAGCTCCATGAGCTCAGTACCATGCCTAGGCACTCAATAAATATTCATGGATATAGTAATAAAATTAAATATCCGTTTCCCATTTTTAATAAATCCTTAAGTTATAATTCATGGAAATAATGTAAATCTTATACACGCAACATTTCTGAGTTACAGTATTTTGTTCTCATAAAAAACTAAACATACTCATGCCAAAGGCTGTTTGAGATATCGTCTCCCACTGCACACTCACAGCTAAATCAATGCCATTAGTACGAGACACATTTAAGTATACCGTTCTGTTGGTTTCTTCAATATCTATAGAAGTGGCTCTGAAATTGTGGAAAGCAGAAAAAGAATATAATTTCTACATATTTGAAATATATGTCACATTACCAGCATATGCTTAATATGCTTCTACATTTATACAACCCAAATGGCATGCACAAATTTGATACATGAATATTTTCAAGACAAATGGGTGCTTGAAAATATTCATTTATGGAGTTTTTTTTAAGTACAAATGCAACACTCATAATCAGAAAATACTGAAGATAAGTAATTTAACATTACACATTTTAAAACTGTCTTTTTTGAATTTTTTCACACATAAATCAAAAACATCTGACAGGAAAAAACAGGAAATTCTTAGTATAGGAATAAAACTAAATCTCTTAAAATACTATATATAAATATCTGTCAGTTTCCAAAGGAAATTTTATAACTATAATCATGTATTTGGATTCAGTGACCAAGTATATTTTATATTTTTTCATGTATTTGGATTCAGTGACCAAGTATATTTTATATTTTTTCTTGCTTTTTATTTCTAAAATCACAAAATAATGCAGGCCTTTTCCTAGAAGTGTGAACTATGAGAAAATAAGAATTCTGATGA